AAACTCAACAAAGCAGGAACCTGGAGCAAGGAGCTGATACAGGGACCACAGTGTGGTTTTCCTTATAGAATTCCTCATGAAGAGTTATTCAGCCTGTTTGTTTTCTTACAGCATCCAGAGCCTAGTGGTCATGTTTTGCACTGCCCATTGTGATATGGGATTTTCCAGATCAACCATCCATCAAAAATACTCCTGTAGTCTTGCTTCCATGCAGTGTGGTAGTACCTTTCAACCACTTAATTTCCCTGTTCTAAAATGACTCTAACTTCTGGGAAATGACCATTAAACTAACTAACACAATTGACTACTTTGACTCAAACACATCACTGTTAAACAATAACATTTCTTTAACTTTGCCCTTAGAATATCACAATAACATCAAAATAAACATGATATAACATTAAGAATCTCAGTCTTTTATATTAAATATTTAAAATTTAAGTCCCTTAAAATAACCAATTTCTTGGAAAATACACAGTCTCTTTATAAATTCAAAGTCTCTCTAAACTATTCTTAGATACAAAGTAAAACATCCAATATTTTTCTTCTAAGAGGGAAGCAGAGTACAGTGACATTCTAATAAAAGGAAACCCAAAGTTCAATAGTCTGGAAACTCTAGTCCTTGTGTGAAATGCGTAATTTCCATTTCTTCTTTTCTTTCTCATTACAGCCATTCTTTTCAACAAATTTCACACCTTCTTGAATATCTTTTAATCTGTGCTCAATTGAACTTAATGAGAATAACCTGTCTGAACAATGGTGAAATATTCCTTATTTACTTGCTAGTGAGAGTTAGGAAAATCCAGGGGAAAAGAAAGGGTTGTTTGTTTGTTTGTTTGTTTGTTTGTTTCTTTTTGCCCGTGACTTTTTTTTAATCAGGGCAGCTGCTGAAGGGATCAGTACACATTTAGTGTGTCTTTCTCTTTCAAATAATTTGATCAAAAATTGGCTGAGAAGAGTGTCCAGTGAGCTTGTGTTTTACTTGACTCCAGACACACTCCAACTGACAATCAAATTAGCCATAAAAAGTCATCATGACAGAGAAGCAAATTAATTCATATCATGCTTAATTTCCAAATGAAAACAATAACCAAATAATAATCTCACCTACCATAATATAGGCATAACGTGTATAACTATGTAGAAGCTTATATTTGCAGACCATGAAATGATATGATAATGTTTACAATTGGACACATGTATTCTAAATAAAAATTATTATATGGCTGTGAGCTTAAGGGTATTGGAGTGAAGTAGTTAGCTTAAGAGGGTCTCTTCACTACCATGTGTATTTAAATAAAACATTACTAATTGATGTTGTTGCTGGTGAAGATTCACAGTATTTGCCTGTGAGAGGTTGGTATACAGGGAGTTTCTTTGAGATTTAATAGTTATTTCCAGATCATTCTCACTGCTTTCTGCTTACAGTATAGGACACGATGTGTTTCTTCCTGCTGTCACGCTTGCCCTATGCTGCTCTTCCTCTCCATCATGATGAACTGCTAATTCGCTTGAACTAAAAACAGAAACTCATTATTCTGTAATTTGTTTGTGTTGTCAAAGAACAGTAAAGTAACTACCAAAAATCAGAAGCACAGACATTCTCAAATAGGAAACAAATGATTAGGAGATGAAGTCAATAACTAGAAAATACTTGATGGGAAAACAAGAATATTGGGAAATTGAGTACTTGTTTACTACAGGTGGCAGTGGAAAATAATACAGCCACCATGAAAATCAATTTGAAGTTTCTTCAAAACAAACAAAACAAGAATCTCCCAAGCAATAAAAAGAAGCCTTCCATATAACCTAGTTATACAATTTCTGAGCATGTACTCAAAGAAATATGTATCCTACAACACAGACTTGCTCTTCCATGATCATTATTGGATTATTTATAATAACCAGGAAATGGAGGCAGACTATTTGTGCATCATTTGATGACTCATTAATGAAACAGATGTACATATACACTATGGAATTATATTTAGCTATTAAAAAAATAAAATTTTCAGACAAGTGTATACAAATGGAAATAATTTTATTGAGTAAGGTATCCCAGACTTAGGGAAACAAACACATGTTCTCTTCATGAGTGGATCTTAGGTTTGAATGCTAATATGTGTGTTTATGAACTTGAGGAACTGTAGACAATAGAAACTAGAAGACTTTTACATGTTTACAGAGACTTTGACATGGAGAGATTGTGAACATATTGGTAAATGTGGAAAGGTGATTAATGAAATAGTAACAGTTAAGTGTGGTAGGGCTTGGATAGCAAAGGAAAGGAGAAACAGTGAGGGATGTTTAACAGTATAACCTTTGAAAAAGTTATGTAAAAACCTACGCACCATGATACTAAGGTTGTAGTATACCATGTTCTAACACCTTTCCTCAGATTGGCACAAAATGCAGGACTTTCTTTTCTTAGCAGGGCTTCCTCTTTTGCATGATCAGGTAAGACTAAACCTCACATCTTCTCCCTGAAAAATGTCTCATATTCCTTGGACAAATTACAGTTTCAATGTGAAGTCTCCAGATTAAGAACCTGCTCAGCAAGCACATGGGATTTCTGGAATGCTTCTCCATACAAATGAGGCATTCCCAACTTTATCAAATGAGTTACATTTACCCTGAAAAACACCTTAGCACTCTCCAAGGTGCATAACCCTTGTCTACTCCAAATGAAGTGTGTACACATAAGCTGCTTCATTGACAATTGTCTAAGAGAGCTATTCATCGAGTATAGTCTAAAAAATCTGCAACACTAAAATCCGAGAAGTTATCCTTTCAGGCTGCCAGTACCAGCTACACTTGGATCCTGCAGACTTCATGCATTCAGGACTATGCTACATCCTTCCAGCCCCATGTAAAGTGGTGCCTGGATACCCTGAGGGAGGAATCTGAGGATGAGAAACCAAAGTTAATCTATCTTTATGGAAGTATCCTAAAATATACACACGTACAATAGGAACTATTAGGCTAATTTTTAAGGAACATGACAGAGGAGGGATCTACATGGAAATGTGCAGAGATTAACTGAAGTCCTATCTGGAACAGTTGGTAAGACTGTACCATCTAACTAGCACTTTGAAGTGTTCATGGATACAATTTTTTGAGGAAACACCTAAAGAAGCATTTTGTGAGGTTGGATCACATGAGCTACTTGTCTTTTTTGGTGTCTCATCTATTTGTCCTGTAAATATATGAATTTTGAAAATAATATACAGTTTCATATTTATACATGTTAGTAGTGTGCAGTGTGCACAAATGAGCTAAAGATGATTCTCTGCTCTGTGTTTAATCAGGTGAACAGCACCAAATATTATAAGTCTATTAGGACTGTATACATCTCCATCAATGGCATTTGAAAAGGTGGCAAATATTAATATTTTTTGAGGATTTTGTAGCCAACAAGATTTATTGGCTATGCAAAGACACTTTTATGTCTCAGTCAGTCTCAGAGCTGTTAAAATGTAGATAGAACAGCCTTCATGTTATCTGCTTTGTAGTTTCTGGTTTCTTCTTTTGTTTCTGCAGCCAAAATTATCACGAGGTATTTCGTGGTCAAAACTAATGTTTATTAATTTTGATACAATCTATAGCTTTTCTTTTCCTGTTGATAAAAACAAACACTTCTCTCACATCTCAACATATGTCCTGCATCTCTTCTGATATATATCACTGAATCAGCCATCTTTTCTAATATCTAGTGTTACCTATCTCATTTTAATAGATACAAGAGGGTATAATGCACTTCGATTAAACTATGTGATGTCACTCCAGACTAGCTAATTTTTTCATATCTAATTCATTTGTGTTGAAAGAGGTATAGATCATAATACAGATGGTCTTGAGCTCTATTTTGAAAACATTAACTGAGCTAGTCAATGGGAAACCAACCAAGCAACTTTGAAGACGCTTCCTTTGCAGGTGTAATGATTCATGCTAATGAGTTGTGGAAAGAAAAATTCTACCATTGTTCCAACAAAAGGTTATTTCATAATATTTGCCAAAACTGATTCCCAGAAAAGGGCAAAACTGAAAGTTCCTGGAGCCTTTGAAATACCATCCTTAAAGGGCAATTACAGGGCATCACCCTGGATGTTTCTGCCATCTCAGGAAAATAAGAAGAGTGAGTTTTATGGTACAGTAATTATTAATCTAAAAAGGTATGTGCATTTGAAGGGCAAAAATTAAAGGTATAACTTATGGAGACTATGATTATCAACTTAGTAAAGATCAAAAGAGAGCAATCTGTGTAGTATGGAATAGTGAAGGAATTATAGTGAAGGGTTAGAACTGTAAGAGTGTAAGAAAAGGGGTGGACAAAAAGGAAATTCAGATCAAGGGGGAAGTTATGCAAGATATGATCTGAAAAGTAATAGAGAAAAATACAGACTTGGGTCCATTAGGGGTCATGTAAAAAGACAGGAACTGTGGATTGAAGAAAATACAAATATTGCCTTTGGAAATAGATTCAGGGGCCAGGGACAGATAGAATTGAGCAAGCCTGAGGGGTCAGAGCTACAATAAGTCAACCTATATTATGTATATAATTTATATACATATATAATGTCTGCATCTTGCACTGTTCCACTTGATAAAAACTTATATACTGTGACAGCTGGAGCTCATCAGAGCCTATATATATATATATATATATATATATATGTGTGTGTGTGTGTGTGTGTGTGTGTGTGTATGTATATATATATATATATATATATACATATATATATATATATGCAATTAAGGAACTACCACCCTCATGTAATTTTTCTGACAGGTTTCCATTCTTAAACATGGCATAAGTCTCAATTTGTGTTAGTCATTCTTTATCATCTCTACATTCTGAATAATAACAGTGTCATGTGGCATTGACTTTGATATACACATATGGATATGAGACCTAATTAGAATTTTTTCCGTCACAGATTTTTAGATATACTGAGACTGGTAACACATAAGAGGAGCTGTACATTTTATTGAGCAAGGAATTAGCAAGCATATGTAGGCAATTTACTGGAGCATTTGCAGGGGAAGAAGAAAGGGGTTGCTGCTTGGGTGTAATTGTGCTTGCTTAGCAGTCTAACCACTGCTAATTTTGGTGTTGGTAATCTGGCATCCACCAAGGTATGATCATCAACAGGAGTGATGAGGCACTTCCAGAGATGTCTGCATCTTACACTGTTCCACTTGACACAAATTTGTATACTGCGACAGCTGGAGCTCACCAGAGCCATATGATTCTCCCAGGGGACATAATAGACTCCAAAAGAGCAGAATTCATGCAACAAAAGTAAACAAAGAAGGTTGATCAGTGCTGGATAAAACTTAGAGGAAATCTGAAACCAGAACTGTTTGAGAGTATTTTAATGTAAAATCATAACTCTGCCAACTCTACCTTCACTCTGCCTTATTAAGCAGTGTCTGCTAATCTACAACATAATGATGTTCATCGACCATATGACATCTGTCTACCTTTAATGGTCACAGGTTTCTCATTTTCTTATAAAGACAACCCTTTATGGAATACCCTCTGACTCATTCTAGAATCTCAGAATTCAGGACCAGAGTTTACACTCAGTACACAAGACACTCTCCCTTCCATACAAGAGACTTTCAGGGGCATCAGACACAGAAATTCCTGAAAGCTTCATAGTAGGGAAAGTGACAGGAAGATGAATTGCCACTGTACACAAATACACTGTATTTTCAGTTTACCACTATCAGTAGTTAGTGGGCATAAGTACAAAGACCAGAACTGCAGACCTCATTTCTTTTCAGGGTGCTATGTACAGAAGCTATACTTGGAAGTGTAAATGTCTGTTCCTGGCAATACAACCTACTACTGCATCCTCCAGGTCAATCAAGCAAAATGACAGTGACCTCAAAGTACATAATTCACATTTTAACATACTGAGCAAGTCAAATTATTTATGTGAACAGATAATCTGTTCTCTCAGTGCTAAATATACTATAAAAACTTCATGGACATTTTCTTAACTTAGTACACTACACTGACATTTACACATTCTATAAAAACCTATGTATCACTTACCACACACCTTATACATACCTTTCCACCTTTGCCCAAGGACAGTTCAAACAAACTTTGATCTACTTATATGGACACAAACACACAAACACACACAAACACACACAAACACATACCTCCGTCCATGTTTGCAAATGATACAAGTGAATATGACTATGATCTGAAATAAACTTTTACAAACTCACTGGATTGTCTCTCCCTCTACTTGCACAGAATATCTCTGATATATGGTACATTCATACCTCTTGCTGATTAGACTCTTCTTTTAAGCGACAGTTGGTCAAGTCATCCTGGGGCTTTAAACATGTAGTTTTGCCTAGGATCACATCAAATAAAAATTTCTTTCCAGCCACCACATAAGGAGAAATTAAAGATTCCCTTTTAACATTAAACTGAACTTCACATGAGTTCTTTCCCATTCCAGTAAGCTTGACAGGACACTGAAAAACCAGAGTTTCTAATACTTTGGAAAAGTATGTAGCTCTGAGTTGTCAACTGGTATTGAGGCAATATAAACTTTGTTTTCAGCAATGCAAGGCTGCTGAGAGGAGAAGTGATATTGAAGTCTAAAACACAGGAATAATTTGATGTAGATACCCACAAATGAGAAAGAATTAGCTCTGTTCCAGTGAATCATGTGTGGGAGCTCAGTTTTAATCCTTAGATGAGTCTACTTCACAGCAGAACACCCAAACTTTTTCTTTATTCATGCTCATTCCTACATTCTCATGAGGACATGGGATGCTTCACTAGAAGAACGTTTCAATTCAAAAGGAGGATATATTTATTTGGTTGTAACCTAAAATGCAGCTGTTAATATGAATATTTTTGTAGTATGAAATTCTCATGCCTGTTTTACATTTTTAACTAAAAACATTTAGCTGTTTTTCCAAGAGGGAATCATAAACTCATCCTGATATAACTCTAGAAGAGAAAATGCTGAGGGCAGACCAAGTGTTACAAACCCTATGAAACCAGAAGTAACTGCCATGCATCATCTATCACTAAGCTTTAGTTCGATGAAATGAGCTGCATCCACTCTATTCACTTTTCACAGGTCTATGATTCTCTCATAGTTTACTCATCCCACATATTAAGCCTGAATGAAGATGTTCATGTAGGCCTTTCTTTTTTGTGTAAGGCTCAGTGTTTCTGAGTTGCTAATCCACTATGCAAAAAAGTGGTCTAGAGAACCAAAAAATTATCTTTATGTTGACAGTAAACTGAGAATAGGACATATAAGAACATTTCCAAAAAACAGATGAGGTGAAACAAGGGTCTCAATGACATTTTCCTTCAGTATCCTCACTCCCTAAATCTTATCTCTACTCATTAATGACATCAGTTTAAAGACAAATCCATTTATTATGTAAGAGAATACTCACGATACTCAGGATTTATTCAGACCTACACAAGGTATTATACAATCGCATGGAAATTTTCTTTTATAATCACTTATTAATTTCTCATTAAAATCATGTTGGCAACCTAGATGACCCATCAGAGGTTTCCTTTTTATTAACTCTTCTACCATGATTGAGTGTTCCACAGGAAACCTTGTGTTCATGAGAAAATGCTGTAGACAGAAAGAACTCTGTTATTCTTTAAATCATTGATATTCGTGGAAAGAAGAAAAAAGATCTCTACATTAACATGGCATAACACATAGCTGTTTCTGTATCCATGTTAGTTATGCCCACTATATGTTTGTGAGATGGTTTATGCCGAGATGGTTAGTTATAGAACATTTTTTTTAATATAATGAAGAACAGCTAGTATAAATTTTATTCTTTTTCAGTGTTGACCCTTCGGTTCAGCAGCCACTTACATGCCATTGTGCCCCTCTTTTTTTCAGCATTCTATGTTAAGTGTTAAAGGTTAACCCCATGCTGCATCTTCAGGTACAGTTCACTGTGTTCCTCTATAAATCTTTGAGATTATCAACCAAACTATGATTTGAAGATCACATCTAGAGTAAGTAGGAGAAATTTGTTGAAGATGATTCTACCTTAACTCAAAGATATATGTGCAAAAAGAAGCTAAGATTCTCTAGATTGGCAGTACTCCTACTACAAAGGGATATGTATCAACCAAAGTTATTATATCCAGTCAAAATGTAGGAGTATTGGATCAAAAAGAGTAATATTTTGTTTATAGAGATTTGTGTTAGGAGAGATGAAAGTGCTGTTCTAACAAATATGTTTTTACATTGTTTCACTAAGGAGCATCACTGTGTCTTCATACTTCAAGCAGAAAACCACATCTTTAGTGGTATGATATTAGGAGACCACTCCCTTCATGGTACTGAAGATTATAACATTTCACCGCTGGTGGGTACAAATGATTCTACACAAATTTCTGTAAAACTTTAAGCAAAGGAAGCTGAGACAACAGAAAACTGTTAGGACATAAGCAACTCTGAGATTGGCTACTAATAAAACTTTGCAAACTGAGTGATCCTGTATATGACAAAACTGTATATAAATATTATATCTTGATTTACCTTTTAACATATTTTAAAATGAATAAAAATTACATTTTTCAAGATGGAAAGTTTATACTGAACAGTTTACCAGCAAAACATTATAGATGATAGATAGATAGATAGATAGATAGATAGATAGATAGATAGATACATCCTTGAGGAAATTGAGGAAGTAGGACTAAACACAATGTGGTAAGGTAATAAAGAAGACATAATGGATTAACAGAGCCCTCCTGTGATACAGTTGTGATTGCTTTTGATATTTGCCCATAAAGAGGAGTAGAATTCTATAAAAGACCCTAAAGATTTCAAGAAGGAAAGGCTGTTTTGGTGAGAATTTACTGTTTATGATCACATAACTATCTGTTTACATTGTTTTTGGGCTCAAGAAAGGTAGTTGTAAGATGTTCTTCTTAGAAGATCTTTTGAAGAGCCTTTGTTCTGGTTTGGCTGGGAAGTATAGCATGTTCACACTGACAAAATACTCTTAAATTTCAAATTAGTGAAACAGAGGCTATTGTAGTTTGAGTAAGCACACCTACAAGTGCTTCAAGAGGACAGAAAATATATAAGAAAAAATGTAATAAAAGGAGGAATATGTGAATGCTGAAAATATTTCCAGCTCAACTCACTGGCTACAAAGCAAACTAAGTCAGTATCAAAGAACAGCAAGGTGGAGAGAATGCTAGAATGTCTCAAGACTCTACGATAAGTCAGGTTCCCCCAATAAAGCAAAACATATCTGACTTTGAACACTCTTCACTTCCACCCCACTGCTCACATACAAGTCACTGTTTGATTTATTATACTGCCTGACAGCAAAATCCAGTGCTTCTGGGGCCCCATACTCCTCCATACTAGATTTCTCCATGTCACGTAAATTGTGACCAAGCACAGGGTAGTGGCCCAGGTTTAGAACAAGTATGAGGGTGGTCAGCAAAAATAGTTGAGCATGGAGTAGGTAGGCCATGGTCTTCTTCCAATTCAACTTGGATCCAAGGCTAGAAGTGGAATTGCAGTGAGTTTGGGTCAGGCAGTGAATGTAGCCTCGGAAGGAGTTGGCCTTATATGCTGTACTATTAGTTTACATTGGCTACTTGACAGCACCATATGTTATTTCAACCTTTCCCTTCCTTTATCTATTCATGCCTCTATACTTTCTCTCCTTCACATTGCTCTTACAGGAAGCCAGCTCTATTTCCACTTCTGAAACTTTTTGTTCCACTTCTTCCTCTTCCCCAAATCTCCATTTCTTCTCTATTCACCCTTCTTCTTTTTCTCTTACAGTTCCACACTATCTTTTCACCCCAGATTTTTAAACATTTTTTATTCCTCCAGTTTTGAGCTTGGTTAGGTTGGTCTTTCTTCTTGTTTTCTGGCCGTCAAATTCCTACAACATCCTAGTTAAACACTTTGTGTTCCAGAAATTCTTTGTCTTGGGGTCCTGAGAGAGCAGGACCTTCCAAGGTCCTCATCACCTTTGAAAGGTGAAATTGTGACTACAACGTGTCCTCATAACAGGCAGAGAAAACTACATGGCTATCAAGTGTCACCTAACGGGGGATGTTGTGAACAAAAATGTAACTACTGGTTTCCAGCAATTTTATCCTGCTATCATGTGTGTGTTCTTCAGTCAACACTGGGAACATTTAGAAGCCATGAAGAGCATAAAAACTAAGAAGGATTTGATTCTCTTAGACACTTTCCTATCTTTGGCTTCTAACTTGTTTGTTTGTTTGTTTGTTTGTTTGTGTGGTTTTGTTGTGGTTTTGTTTCTTGTTTTAGTTTCTTTGTGTATTTATGTTTTTAACTTCATATCTCATCATTTGCATCTTATTTTTAGAAACAATGATCCCTGTCTAATAAGAAGAGAACAAGTGCCCCAGAAAAGTAGAAAGGAAGTGATGTTATTTAATATCCAAAAATATGATATCAACCTTGAATGATATTCACACTGATTAAGGAAGAAAACAGATTTTAAATCAGGAAGTCATGGACCCTCTTTAATTTCTGTTGTAATGAAAAGGCATAATTTTATTTGCCATCTCTGGTTTATGGTAATTACCTTCTATTTATCTCATCAAAATTATGTGTGGGTTTATTTTTCTGTTTTTTAGTCTGATTATTTTAAAGTTTACCATGTGTTTATTCTTGAAGATGAGCATGACTACACCTTTATTCTATAAATCTATTTTGGATATCTATATGTTTGTATCTCAGCAGACTTTCTGTGGATGGGGATAGCAAGAACAGCTGACATTAGCAGTTTTCTAAGTGCTTTTTGTGCATTTGTAGCTAGACTAAAAGACAAATATCTCCCTTATCTCGCATTGCTTCAAGATCTATTGGTATGATGTCAGTGGATTGTTTCCATTTTCTCTCTTCTTAGTGACATATATTTGGTGCTAGTTGAATATTGGGAACAGCCCATGTCATATCCAATTTTAACCTAGGTTGGAGGTTGAGTCAAGAATAATGTGGTCAGAAATTTAAAAAGAAACACATGGACACACACACACACACACACACACATGCACACACTCACACTGAGCAACTAACACCAAATTATCACCAAAAAGGTTACTTATCAAACTGGAGGGGAAATCAGGTTTTTTGAATGGGGGTCTGTAAGTACATGAAGCAGTAACACAGCAGGAGAAACAGCAATAAATCATGGTGTGTTTTGTTTGTTTGTTTGCAAGTATAGCTTTTAGAAAGAAAAACTGAAGGAGTGGATTTATGCTAAAATAAATTATTAAGTCCTGACTAAGAATGATAAAAGAATAATAAATATTGATTATCTGATTGACTCTGGAATTTTGTTGTAGGAGTAAGTCTGTGGCCAAATAAGGAGAGGAGAAATGAGGGCTCCCATTAAAAATGTGACTTCATGGTTTTTAGCAAGTGAGAGTAGAGTAACGTCTATGGTAGCATACTATACTTTGTCTTTAAACTTGAATAACATTCCATTGTGTACGTTTGTCACATCCTCCTTATTCATGATTCAAGTGATTTCGTCTGATTTATTCTAGAGCTATTGTGAATATAGAAAGTATAATCATCAATGAACATATATCTCTCAAGTGCAACAGAGTCCTTTTGATATGAAAACAGTCTGTACTGGAAAAAATAGATCTTGTGGTAGTTCTGTTTCTTTGTTTCTGAGAATAAACATATGACACCTGTTAACAGCCACATCAACAACTGTGATTATGTGTTCTTCATTTTTTCCATTTGCTACAGAGGGGATTTTTTTAATGACAGTCTTCCTAGATTTAGTTCAAATTGACTCTCCTAGTGGTTTTTATTTTCATTTCCCTAATTTTTGATTGTGTTCAATTTTCAGTATTGCTATTTTCCTTGCATAATCCTTCTGGATAGAATTCTCCTAATACAAGTTTTAGAGAGAAGAGAGCTTGAGGGAGCATATCTCAGTATAATAAATGCTGTAGGAAACAGACCTTAAAGAACTGGATTTTAAAGGAAGAAAAACTAGCAGAATCCCATTACAAACAGAAAATAATCACAGGCACTGTTTCCACTCCTACTCATAATAGAACAAGAAAGAGGATGAAGACAAGAATGAGGGGGAGGGAAAGACAGAGGAGGAAGAGGAAGATGATGATGAGGAGGAGGAAGAAGAAGAGGAGGAGAAAGGGAAGCCAAAGCAAAAGAAAATGAAAGCAACACAGAAGAAAAAAATTCTTTCATAGCAAACAAAGCCAAAGATCTAAAGTTCACCATAATAAAAACTTCTAAACTCTGCAGAATGAAATCAATCAAGACGTTATAATATGGAAAGACATCTTGTGATAATGAAGTTCAAGGATTCATACTGTGGATATGACTGTATCTATGTCAACCACATCACCCAGGAATAGTTAAAAGAATATTCAAACATTAATTGGCTTGATTTATCCTGTATCTTGTATATTGTCAAATCTTAGATTGATTGTATCAATTATTAATAGATACAGGAGTTTTAATGCATTGCTATTAAACTATGTGCTAGCATAACAGGTTGGCTGCTTTTTTATCATCTCTAATTCTTTAGTGTTGAAATAAAGCATAGGACAGATGGTCTTGGGCTCTATTTTCAAAACATTAACTAAGCTAGTCAGAGATGAATTCAATAAGCAAATTTCAAGAAGCCTCCTTTACAGGTGAAGTGATTGGTGCTAATGAGGTGTGGAAAGAAAGTATCCTACCATTGTCCTAACAAAAGATTATTTCATTATATTTGCCAAAATTATCCCCAGAAAAGGGCAGAACTGAAAGTTCCTGGAGCCTTTGAAATACCATACATAAAGGGCAATTACAGATCATGACCCTGGATGTTTCTGCTAGAAACATAAGACGAGTGAGTTTATGATACAATCATTGTTAATATATAAAGTTATATGTATTTAAAGGCCAAAATAAAAGTTACAACTTAGTTGGATACGATTATCCACTTAGTAAAAGTCAAAAGAGGACAATCTGTGTAGCATGTTATGTTGAAGGAATTATAGTGAAGTGTTTGATTTGTAAGAGTGTAAGAGTAGGGGTGGACACAGGATACACAGAAAAAGAAGGAAGTTACACAAGGTATGATCCAAAAAGTGATATAGAAAAATCAAGATTTTGTGTCCAGTAGGGGTTGGGTGAATCGACAGGAGCCATGAGTGACTAAATGAAAATAATTGCCTTTGGTAAAAGAAGCAGGGGCAGAACAGATAGAATTGAGCAAGTTGGAGGGGAGAGGGCCAACATAAAACATCCCATATACTATCTATTTCTTGTGAACTACCACCATCAAGAAATTTTTCTGGTATGTTTCCTCTACTCTTTAAATAATTTGTGAACTCTTTTGTTAAAAGTACACACAAACACACATACACACACAGAGAGAGAGAGAGAGAGAGAGAGAGAGAGAGAGAGACAGACAGACAGACAGACAGACACAGACAGACACATACACAGACACACACATATATACATGAATAAATATAGATCAGCAACATTAAATGAAATGATCATGTTGTGTTCATACATTTACCTTTATTATTACAAGTATACAAATATTGTATATATTTGTACATCACACATTAATATGTGCTTGTATAAAAGACACAATTTAAATAAAATAGAGCGGGTTAAAATCATGTATGGTATGGATTTCAAATAGAGAAGGATGATAGACAGGGATGAAAAATCCTTGAAAATTTATGTAAAACTTACCAATCTGGACGATTTCTAAAATACGTAAGTGTAATGTACAATGTGACCTCTCTGCCTATTGATAAGTGAACATCTCCGTAATAAGTTCTGAAAGATGTAAAAAATAGAGGTATTGTACACTGCCTATCAGATAATGTGTTGTTTAAAAAGAGGAAAGCAAAATTGTAAATTCTCACAGATAAGGTTCTCAGAACATTCCAGCACATTTGAAGGCCTATAGGAAATGAATGAAGGCCAATGGGGTTAGAGTATCTGTTTTCCAAAGGATGTGCCTTCTTGGGGTTATGAAGTATGCTATTGTCAGTATGAAAATCATACACAATTAAGAAAGCAAGATTCAATACAGTCCTCATGTATTCATAATTATATCTACTTCTGATATCCCCAGCCCTTCCCACTTGCTCATTTCTATACAGTAGACACCTCCACATGGGCACTGCTTGGCTATGGCTCTCTGCATCTAGTTTCATCGCTGAGGGATGAATCCTCTGATGGGACATTTGTACTAGATATCTGTCTGCAAGTATAGAAAAGTACTATGAATGGGGTCAGATTTTGCCTCTCTCTCGTGGGATGGGTCTCAAGGTAGAGCAGTCATTGGTTGGCCATTCCCCTACAGAAGTTTTATCAAGTTAGCCTCCCTGGTCCATTGGAAATCACAAAGTCTAAACCACCAACCAAAGGGCAAACAAAGACCCCTACATATTTGTAGCAGATATTCAACTTGGTTTTCATTCTGGGACCCCAGCT